ATCCTTTTTGCTTTTTGCTGTTTTCAGACACCATGAGATGCTGTCTTCTGCCATGTGCACTCTGCCTTGGAGCCAGCCGAGTACAGACTGAAACTTCCACTGTGAGTTAAATAAGCTTTTCCTTCCTTAATTTTGGGTGTCAAGTATTTTGTCCCAGCAACAAGAGAAAAGTAACTGAGAGAGGCGCAGACAACAAAATTACCCTGCTGAATAGAGGATGAAACTTACACACATAGATAAAGTCATTTTCCAAAGGTTACACTGCTAGCTAATAGATAGGAAAGCTGGAATTTTAACAGTCTAGAATCTACCTCTTTTTTTTTGAAGAATGTTTGTTGTTATTATTATTATTATTATTATTATTTATTTTTTTATTAATGTGTGTGTGTGTGTGTGTGTGTGTGTGTGTGTCAGCTCAGCCCACCAGGGGGCGGGGCTGGCCAGCATGTGGTGCTGGGGGATTGAACCATGGTCCCTGTGCTTTTGCTAAGCTTGTTTCAAGTACGTGCTTTAGACCACTGAGCCATCTCACCAGCCCCTAAAATCTACCTCTTAATTCACATATCATATTACTTCTTTACACTCAAGCTTGTGACCTCTAAGTTCTGATGACATGATCATGTTTAAAAACAATTAATTGAAATATTAACTATATTAAAATTTGCAACAGAGTGCCTAGCAGTCATTTAATTGTGGTCTTATGATAGCTAAGAAAGGTTTATGCGATGACAAACCCTTTAAAAATTAAGTAGCCTACACCTACCTAAGTAGGGCTCTGTCTCCTTATCCTGTCTGGATTCTTTGGAAAGCTAGAGCTTGGCCTCGATTACTGTTCTTGCCTCTTAGGTGCTACACATTCCACTGTCTGTGGTAAGATGAACGTTGAGAGCCAGTCAACAATGAAGAAAGTGAAGCAACACTGTGGTCAGATGTTTCCAGAAAAGGAGAAACACAGCAGGGTACACTTTTGCTTTATTTAAGTTTCTGGTTCTCTCCGACTTTCCTGTCTCTAAAAAGATGTGCTTCCTGGCTGCACCGACTGTTTTCACAATTAAATTTTCAAAACTTCCAAAAAATAATAGGGTTCCAGATTTTGCCAGATAAGGGGTTCTCTAAGCAAAGGAATATAAATTTATAAACAAAACAATAGATATTTGTCTTACTTTTGGCTCAAGAGGGTGAAGAATTCTAACTACACTGCCAGACCCTGGTCGGAATATGGCTTTTGAAAATGAGCAGCCCCTTCCTTATACTTGTGGCCTTCAATCCAGTCAGTCTGGAGGTAAATTTTACTTTAGACACTTAGATGATGGAAATATCAGATTTGAAGGACCAGAGGGATAGAAAGACAAGGTAATTTTGGAATTTAAGAATTCACCAGTGGTGTCTTATTTTCTCATTTACCTTTCCTTGTAATATTGTCTTAGCACTGACATAAAACTAAACTTATGTATGATGTTTTAATTTACTTGGTTTTTTTTAAATTTTCTTTCAAAGGTACACAGGAAAAAGGTTTCATTATCAAAGTGCACATTCCAACCAGTGGCTTCTATATCTATTTAGTAATAAGAATAACTACTTCAGGGGCCGGGGAGATGGCTCAGTAGAATAAGCGCTTCCCTGGCAAGCACAAGGGCCTGAGTTCAATTCCCAGTTCCGCCAAAAAAAAATTTAAAAAAAGAATAACAATTCAAAAACTAAGGGGTGTAACTGAAGTGTGTTATTTTATCAGGGATCCTAACTATATCAGCAGGACTAAATAGAAGGCAATTATACTTTTAATGATGCCGCAGTCATTAAAGACGCTGCATACAAAGTTTCCCTTTCAATATCTGAAGGCGCTACAGAGGACTCACGCCAATCATAAACTTTCAGATAAGAAAGGCGGATCAAAGAGTGGAAATTGCTGGGGCCACCTGCTGCTGTTTTAGAATGTATTTTATTATGCTTAACTGAACAGTTCTCCAGAGGTACTGCCCAACAGCCCTTCTAGATACTTTATTATACCTACAATCAAGCCGCAAAGATTCTAGCAACCAGAAGAGACCCGCCGGAGGAGCTGTCCGAGTCCTTCGTGTCCTGAGTACGCTGGCCACCAGTCACGACACATGTCTCATCCTTCCCTCAAGACTCCATAAATGACACTGAACTAATTAGCAGCCATGCTTCCTTTGGCCCTCATTTTTAGTCATGCTAGTCATCATACCCATTGTGACTTTCCTCAAGTGTATCTGTCCCTTCCTTTCATTTCTACTGTAGGCCTTCAGTGTGTGGCAGAATTACTTTAAAACAGCTTTTTCCCAGTCATTTCATACATATATTATAATATATGATATATAT